ATATATATGCAAAAATGCAAAATCACAGAAACACAAGTTAAGTATGAAATTTGAAAAAACCACGGTCGGTTAGAAGTGGGCATGTGGGGCGAGGCTCGCGGTGCTATCCAGTGTGATTACGGATGGTCAATGGCACTCCGTGTCAGACTGCTTTATCATTTTGCAAAATCCACAATGCAGTAAAAAAAGGGCATTATAAGGCATCATAAGCCATTAGCTATAAGATTGATGATACATTATGAGATCACAGCGAACGCCAGCGAAAAACTTCATTGTTCCACGCGGCACTTCCTCGCCAAACGCAGTTGTCGTCAACGTGCTAAGCTCTGTGAGCTTCTCTAAAGCCATGACTCACACTTAATTAGAAACCTTAGAGAACACCCTTTAGTGACCATGGCAAAAAAGTTTGAAATATGTTTTTATTTCTCGTTAGAACAGTTTGTACAATGTATTGCAGAAATTTGTCATAAAACTTTAATTTCTGCACGACCACTCTGCAGAAACGAGGGAGATAACATCTATACTGTATCCAGCATGGATATGTTGCACCACGCCCTAGAATTTCTTTAATATCATCACTCCAACGCTGGAGATATTTCTAGCGATGTTGGATCACTCATTTGTCTTCCACGAGCAATGAAAGATGACCTCGAAAGTGCAGCCGAACGTATCCACCAAAATGTTGGCAACAACTCGAACCCATATAACTGAGATCGAGCACTTCCATCCTCATGACTATCGGTGGACATTTTCTCAAACTGAGTACATCATGAAACGCGCCAGTATGACAAAACGAACCAGACGGCCCTAGGCGAGTCCCCTCTTCTACATGCATCTATGGCAAAGATGGTAGCTGGAGAACAGAGCTCGGTTTCTCACATAATCTATGCAATGAAGCTCCATAGCCAAAGAAGGAAAAAAGTTGTCTGCAGAGCAAAAAGCAGATCTGCGTGGAAACAAGGTTTCATTCTGCTATTCCAAAGGGATTCCCCTGAATGTGATCAGCGGTGACTCAACGTTTGACTAATCTACTTCAAGGGATGGTCAGCAACACTCGTGAATTGATTCGAAGACGCCCAATGTCTTCTGCTCCGACATTGGGGAAATATGGCTGCTCCTGTCTTACACACCGGACTTATTGCGAGTGCTGAGAAATAATGATCGTATGGGGCGCAGTGTTAACGCGCGAGCCGGCCCGTAGCAAGCAGGAGCTACTGTCTTTCTTGAACATTCTCGAAAAACCCTCGAAAATACAGCAAGGTCTCGCATAGAGCTGTTCCAGATTCGCTGGCTAGCTGTTTAGCAAACTTCTTTTGAGAACACTGCAACTTGAAATCCCTACCACGACCCCGAAAACATGAGCGGACCATTTAAGAGGTTGCTGCTGAATGCGCAAGCAGTTTTTCGATTACTTGAATTATGGACAATAAAAAAGATCATTTGTTACCACCCTAAATGGGTAGGCAAATTCCATAGTAAAAAATAATTCAGTGGAAGGCCAGATCCGGACTCTTGTGAAAGGCTTTATGAAAATGGCATTTGGCGTTCGGCGTAGGTCAGGCTGCTTCTTGAGCATTTGCCCCAGACACTTTTTCATAGTTAACAGTGTGCTTGAAGCTCTTGACTTGTTTAACTTTATTGGCAAGCTTTCGGCATATAATGCCTTCGTCAGGCCTTAAATTACAATTTCAAACATATAATAGCTACAACGAGCAATGCGTAAAACCTTACATACCAGGCCTTGAGAGGGACGGACCTATCGGCGGGGTGTCAGGGCAATAAGTGACCCGCACTATGACAATGAGACAAATGGGTGGCGGTGATTATGCGATGAGTCTCAGAAGGTCACGTAGCTCCTCTTTTGCATTGATCTCTGGCTTGAGGCGGCGTATCTCCCGAGCTTCCATTATTTTCCTCTGGAGCGGCCGTACCAAATGGCGATGCAACACACTCACATCAAAAGACGGAGCGGTCTCATTTGGGTGTCTAAGCGTACGGTGCCTTGAGAAACTATTGGGTTGGCACATGAGTAATGGCGTTTTTGGCGTGCTATGGCTGCCGCCCTTAATCTCGGGCCATCATTTGCAATAACACCCAGGGTGAATAATACAGTAATCGACGCCGCGCTCTGTGGAGTCCACCAATTCGCATATAAACTACGTTGGAGGGCACATCGCGGACCAACCGTGCTCAATCAGCATGACACCTTGATGTCCCTGATGCCATTCAAAGGAAAGTTTATACAAATACCCCCCTCCTCACGTGACATGGATGCAAGGATTGCTAATTTGCAACATAACATTCAGCAGATATACCAGAATGCAATGAGTGAGCCTTATCGCAGTAATTTAACACCAGCCGAACGAAAGGGAGTGAAGAAATTACTGCAAGCAAGAAGAACATTGAGGTACACGGTCGGAGATAAATGCGGTTCATTTGTCGTAATGCCTCAAACGATGGATAAGGCCCTCACCACCCAAGTGCTCTCAGATAGAACTGTTTATGAAGAGAGCACCTTGTCAGCATTCGATGCAATCTGCAGACGAGTGAAGAATGTTATCATGTCAACAGTGAAAGGGCGTACGAGTTCGGAAATGGCAAAACGGTTGCATGGTTCGGTTCCAACAGTGCCAACGCTCTATAATCTGGTGAAGACACATAAACTTCCATCAACGGAAAGCACAATGTCGCTCCCGTTAAGCGCAATCAAGACGAGACCAATTATTGCATCATGTGGTGGTCCAGCGGACAGGCTAAGTTGGCTTCTGGTACAACTTCTTTCACCACTGTTGCAATACGTGGGAGCACACATTGTGAACGTTGATGAATTCATCTCGTCTCTTCACCAGTGTCCCATCCAGACGACAGCCTTCTACGCAAGCTTCGATGTAGTTGCCTTATATACGAATGTGAATAATGCGGATGCAGTGCAAGCTGTCTTATCCCTTCTTGAAGAACACCAAGATCACGTCTCTACAATGGGATTCTCCATAAGGAACTCATTGAAGTTGCGCTGGAATGCAACATTTTCTGCTTCGACAACAAGATCTACAAGCAGAAACGAGGCTTAGCCATGGGCAATCGTATAGCACCGGTGTTAGCAGTCATCTTCTTGGACCACATTGAGAAGTCATCATTGTCAAGTGGAATATTGTTTTACAAACGTTACATTGATGACGTGTTTGTTATTGGAAGAACGGAAGACGATCTTGTGGAAACCTTGGAGAGACTGAACTCACACGACAGGAACATAACCTTCACCAGAGAAGATCCAGGGAGTGACGGCTTTTTGCCGTTTCTCAATACGAAAGTTCGGATAAGTGAAGGTCGAAAGGAACACCTGTGGTATAAGAAAAGTGCCTCGTCGAATATACTGTTGCATTCCAGAAGTGCACACCCGATATATATGAAGGCAAACGTCGTGCGTAACTTGGTCAGAACGAAGGAGAAGCTTGGGACGCGTAGGGATTCAGATGTGGACGCGAAGGTCCAAAACATCCTTGAAAGCAACAGATAGCTTGAAGTGATTTTCAGGACCTGGGGAATAAGCTTAATGATGCCTTTTCGTTAACGACAAAATGGCACGTCAGGTGAACGCGTCGTGAAGAACTCCCAGCTTCCCATTCGTCTCGTTTTTCGTCCTCCCCAACCCTGAAAACCCTCCTCACGTCCTTCGAGAATTTATGAAAATCGGTGCCACGAAGAATCTTGTCGATACTGTTCATCCGAAAAGGTTTGTGAACCTGTTTACCTCATTCAAGTGCAGAGGATGTGGAGAAACGTACGTGGGGGAGACCGCGCGACCTTTGAGGAATCGTCTGGACGAGCATAGAAGAGCGTTGAACAACCCCGCAGCTTACCCACGAAGTAGCTTCTCAAGGCACCGTACGCTTAGACACCCAAATGAGACCGCTCCGTCTTTTGATGTGAGTGTGTTGCATCGCCATTTGGTACGGCCGCTCCAGAGGAAAATAATGGAAGCTCGGGAGATACACCGCCTCAAGCCAGAGATCAATGCGAAAGAGGAGCTACGTGACCTTCTGAGACTCATCGCATAATCACCGCCACCCATTTGTCTCATTGTCATAGCGCGGGTCACTTATTGCCCTGACACCCCGCCGATAGGTCCGTCCCTCTCAAGGCCTGGTATGTAAGGTTTTACGCATTGCTCGTTGTAGCTATTATATGTTTGAAATTGTAATTTAAGGCCTGACGAAGGCATTATATGCCGAAAGCTTGCCAATAAAGTGGTTAAACAAGTCAAGAGCTTCAAGCACACTGTTCAAGAACATATTGGATGAAGCTCAGAGATAACAGTATCTTGTCATATTTTCATAGTGTTTATTTTGGATTATCAATCTTGAGCGAAACAGTCAAATACTTGAAAGAATCCTCGATGTCAAACTCACCTGATCGGTTTTCCACGAATTTCTGCCATGATGTTGCTTTCACCACCAAGATACTCGTAACATAGCGACAAAAACGAATAGATTACGAACGCTGAAAAGGTGCGAACTTTTTACTTTGTAATTTTTCCCATATCATAAACCTCCAGTAGAGGAACATTACTGAGAAAAGCAATTTTTTCTACACTGAATTCTCACAACGAACGAGTGCTATTGCGTGCTGTTGCTGAGACACTGCCTCATCTTCACACATCACTCAATTCAACTCGTGGTTTGCAAGGACTACATAAAAATTCTGGATTGCTAATTGACTAGGAAGTTGTGAAAAAATGGACAAAGCAGTCAAAGATGCCTGATCTAAGGCCCCAACGCTGATCAAGGTCCTGTGATTATACAACAAGATAAAAGCGCAACGAAGACCATATCTGTAGTCATAGTGACAAAAATGTTGAGATATGGGTAAAGGAGGCTAACCACTGAACAAGAGAAGAGCATTGTAGGCTCCCAAAGAACAAAGGTGGCAGACCTGCTGGAGAATGGACTAAGGAATGCTCCACAGCTCCTGGTGACTTCTTGATCTGGCGGGACCTGACAGGTTGATTCCGGGAAGGAGTGCTGCGAGGCCTTCAGTTTCAGAATCGTCCCTCCAGACGATCGATGGCGTTATCCTCTTCACATCCGCCGGTGCCATTTTTTCCTCTTCTACCCTCCCTTCGCTGTTATCTATTTAATCGTTGTTCTTTTATGTCTTGTTAGTTGATTGTTTTGTTCCATACGTGTGATCGATGCCACCGTTTAACGGTTGCTCATACCTTGTCAACGACTGACTTATTATTCAGAGGGCAATCATAACCTCACAGGGGGGCCGAAACTAGCAAAGTTCGAACGAGCAACAGTCACACCGGTGAGAAGGTACGACTGAACTAATCACACTGCGTGAGGTGAGCTGCGACTCGTGAGATAGATCGAGTCAAAGCCCCAGTAAAAGCATACTGGCATACTAATCGCTGTCTAGATTGGAGCTAAGGTAAAGGTCAGTGCCAAGGGCGGAAATCGTACTCAATAGATCGACTGCGTGTTGATCGCCATTTGACTATTGGACCTTGTGAGAGCGAAGATAGGCAAGTCAAAACCGAGCGTCAAGCTGTTTCAATGGACTGTATTCGGCCTAATACTACGCGCGTTTCATGTTGCTTGGAGGCTTTCAAACGAATAAATCTTGAGATTGCAGTTAGTCGTGATGGTTACTCACGACGAATTCAAGATGGATGGCAAGACCGAAGAGCAAGAAATTTGCCAGCGGTAAGCACAGAAAATTGTACTTCCCCTTTCGAGTTAATAGTCGAAGGGCTGAAGAAAAATGAGCCCTCCGGTGGAGCAAATCCCTGAGATTGTCGCTGAAGGGTTAAGGGAGCACAAAGGTGCCTTCGTTATAAAGAGATGCATGTGGAACTGGTTAGACGGGAAAGTGCACCGTAAGCTAAATTTAAGCAAGCAGCTGCCGGAGGACAAAAGTTGTTCACAAGAAATTTGTGAAGCATTAGATCTGAAAGTGATCGAATCGGAGGATGAGTGGGAGGAATACATCACAATGGGAAAACGGTGATTGCAGGTCGTACACGTCGCCAAGGAGCTGAAGGTGAAAGGTGCAAAAGACAATGTCGCCAGGCTTGGGGATGGAAGCGAAAGATGTAGTGTGTACGCTAATCTCAACAGCAGCATGCCGTTCAGTTCAAAGAGGGCTATTGCAGGTACCATCGGTGCGGTGGATTAGAGAGCCCAGGTGGAAAACTTGTGTGGGTTTCTTGTTGGCGGGAACAAGAGAGACACCAGGCTGGGATTTGCCAAATGAAATGCTGAGCTATTCCCAATCTTTGTCTTGTCCCGGCGCTGGAGTGTGTAGAGGGAAAACGAGTGGAAACTTTACAGAGCTCACCTGTTTGGAGGTTCCGGAAATAGTGCCGAAGAGTAGCAATGAGGGATCATACGCTTATTGAGATCCTTGGGGATGATCACTCGGGCGGTAGAGCAAAGTCCTTTTTGTTCCGCATCCGCTGGAGATCAGAAAAAAAGATTTTGAGGCAGCTGTGATGGAGCTAAGAAACTTGGTGGCGGAAGATAGTTTGGCTGGCAGGATGCGAGCCATTGCTGAGCTAAGCGAGTTGAGGATCCGCCATCATCAAGACGTGGGCGACTTTTTGTATAGCTAGAGATTTTAGGAAGGAAAACTAACCCTCAACGCAGTATTGAGGACAGCAGTACTGAGAACAGTTCACTAGAAACACATATCCTCCTGTCTAATGCGAGATTGGACGGAACATTTTCAGCTGTTGAGTGCGCTTCATAGAACGAAACCAGACAGGGCCTATGAAGAGGTGCAGCAGTGCTCTTTCATCGAGCAATCCGAGCGGAGTTCTGAGAATCGCAGGAAGAAAACGAAGGATAGAACAACTGGAAGACCAGAGCAAAGTCGCATAAGGGCTACGCTCAACACAGTCAGCGCTACAACAAGGAAAGAAATGGTGGGACGACGACAGGAGGGCGACGTAGAAGCAGTAAGAGGAGCTACGGTGAGGCCGGCTCCACATGTAGAGCTCACCAACAGGGATCACTTTCCAGTTACAACAGGTTCGCGGACAGAAATAGTAATGTGAATAGAGACCGTTTCAACTAT